CTAATTTTGGTTTTTTTAAGAAAATGCCGTGCTTGGGCTATGTAACCATCAAACGCGTCTAAATTGCACAGAAATGACTCGGTGTATGTTCTCGGTGCGGTGACAAACGCGTTACCCCATTGGCGTCCAATTGAGTTAAACCACAGACCTTTTCCTAACTTCATTCGGCGTCTGAGAACGTTGGTAGATTGAGTAGTGCTTCTTTTAAGGCAGCTTGTTAATCGGTCAACTTGCAGGTATCCGTGCCCTTGTGTAACAGGTCGGGAAGTTTGTTCACTAAATGAAATTTCCTGCGCAATTGAAGTATAACTGTAATTTTCGTGGGATTTGCGTAGTACGTGTTTGTGTGCCCTCTAAAGTGGATTCATCGTGCTTCAGATCCAGTACATCTGCGACTGATTTCTAACTATCCATATTTTCCTCCCTGCGTCTCAACTCGATTCGTGAAACGAGACGCGTTGGTCTTCTTTGCCGCACCGTCGTTACAAATTAGTAACCTTAGTGAGAGAACGCAGAAGGCATTAAGCGCGCGCGCCACCGAGGGCTACGCAAATTTTGTCTAAATATAGACCGACGCTATCCGCATCCTCGTTCTCATTCTGCCGCCATCTACTGTGTGGGTGGTGTAAAAAAACCAGCCCTACGTATTTACCGTGCTCATACCTTCCTCGGTGTTTTAGATTATCGTAGGTTTGTCTAATTGTTTTTTCTTGCCACAGCAAGTAAACGACAGCAAGCGTCAGTTGGAACTGCAGTTGGGCGAACTGGAGGCCGAGGTGACGCAGAGGGGCCAGACCCTAGCCAGTCACCGTCACCTGGCTCAAGAGCTGGCCAAAAAACGCTCCATCCTGATCACCGAAATGAAGGCTCTGCTGGCGACACTTCTAGAGCGGCGTCGGACGCTTCGAGAGAAGCGCAAGAGCACGGTGGCCATCTCCGCCGCCACCGTCGCGTCCACCAACAGCATCACCAGGTTAACCATTGTTGTTGTTTGTCTCGAGTACACTGTCCCAGTACCACACAGCTCCACGTGGTTCATTGGGCAGGCTATCAGCCCGCTGCTTGCTACTGGCTAGTTAGTACTGGCCAATCGCGAATAGCTAGTCGTTTGATTGGTTTTCACTGCCCAATGGCAATGGGGTCACCAAAATCCAATCACTACTGTCTGATTATTTTAGGCGAGTGTCATTAAGACGATCAATCTCACTAGGAAAGTTTTTTTCCTTTCCTTTTTGTAGTACATCGCTCGCAGCGGGACTCTCAGAGCCCTACGTTGCCCTCTACGCGTACTCACCGACCCGGTCAGACGAACTGGCCTTCGCCGAGCACGATCAAATCCAGGTTGGAGTTGGAACTCGTATTTACTGCATCTAGAGTGATGGCATCTAATACCTAATAGGATATAAAAGTTTAAAAAAATATATCAAACCATCTATTATTATTTAATGCAAACAAAAGTATAGTGTGTGTGGCTGATTTTGTGATGAGTTAGCGTTAGTAGACTCACTGAGTTTGTGTGCACATTCGTGTACAAGCCACAAGAAGATTGATTCAAGGGTTATAGCAGAACGCCTCAGTCATTTGTGAACTCTCCATGAGTCCCGGTTGCCCATCGCAGTCTTCTTGTAATTGCAAATGTCAAGATTTTCTGATAAAATTCAAGTAAAATAGCGATATTTTGATTCCAAAACTAAATGAGGCATTCTGCATTTCCAATTTTTTAAAATCAGGGATTTTAATTATGACCTTTTGCTTTCAACTCGGTTTCGTTCAATTAATTAAACCCTTCAACTGTTTCTCCAATTTAACACGATCACACAGTGCAACTCTTCGTTTTGTTGCACTTGATTCTGTTCTAAATATGTTTTTGTCTTTGGCCAGATTCAATCAAGTGAAATTCACAACACTGATTTTGTGGCTCATCCGTTTTCTACGCCTAAACTTACCCTTTAATGCAAAAGCTTCGGCCAGGCGCGCGGTACGAAACCCTGGCTGGTAGTCAGTGTATTCGGTCTAAGCAAAAGGCCCTTTTATCTGCCCGTGATGAAAGAAGCTTTCACAATTCCACCGTAAATAGCTACTTCTATGCCGCTTGGTCCGTAGTGACTGTTGGCCTTGCAAATTTCTCGTGTCCCGTTTGATTCAGCGCGAAACCAAGTGACGTCGAATCTGCTGGCTTGTGTCGACTTGACACTCCATAAGTGTGGAACAACAAACCGTTCGAGAAGGTCGACGACAAAGATTTTGCTTTCCAAAGGCACTCAGGAATCAAACAAAAACTGCCTCAATCCAATAGTCACGAATAATGGGTTCTAGGTCATCACGGTCTGAGCGGTAGAGGGCTTTGTTGAGTTATTGTGCGGTCCGCGTTATCGGTTCCAGGGAAGGAAACGACAGATGCCCCGACAATCGTGGTACTCTTACCTCTGCTTCAAGTAGACCTATTTGAACTGCGCTGGTGCAACTCATAATGTCCATCTTTACCAATTAGATCCTCACGAATCCGCCGTTCGAGGTGTGCGAGGGCTGGCTCTACGGGGAACTGGACGGTCGCTACGGCCTCGTGCCGGCCACTTACGTGAGGAAAATCAGCGCTAGCGAGGTCGCAGCCGGCCTCAACTCAACCCTGCCCGCTGACCCGTTCGCTTTGCCCACCTCCACCACCGCCGAAAACCCGACCGGCAACCCGTTCCCGGCGTTCGAGACTCCAGCTCAGCAGCCGAATTCGCTGTGCGTCTCTTTAACGCATTTTCGTGTTGACTTGCAACTTGGAACTAGGCTTTTTGGTCTTCTGTTTAAATTGGCTGCCAAATTGACACCTTTTTGTCTGGCTTCCAGGCCATTGTCGGACGACGCACCGGTGGAGAGCGTGGAGTTCGACGGAGAGAAGCCGCTTTTTGCGTGTCTTGCACTCTACAATTTCGACGCCGCCCATCCAGGCGACTTGAGTCTCCAGATAAACGACAAGGTGGACGTCTTCGTCGACAACAGCGGCTGGTACGAGGGTGTGTCTCGGCGCACCGGCCAACGCGGCATCTTCCCTGCCAACCACGTTCAAAAGCTGCAGTCTGATGTGAGTTGGCAATGACACTGGTGTTAGACATCCTCTCACTGCCCTTAATTGTGTTCCTTTCCGTCGGTTGAATTTGCGACCGTGTGTTAGCGTCGACAGTGACTAGCAACGTTCACTCTTAACAGGTTCCACTAATTTCAGTGCACCTTTTTTTCCTACTGGTACGATTCGATGGTGACTTAGAAAAAGATCTCAAAATCCGGATAAATATTGCTCCAAATTTCAAAATTTGGAGACAACTACCGATTTGAGACTAGTGATAAGTGAATCTTGCTGTACGATGGCATTGCTGTGGGTGCCGTTTCTAGAATAATCACAAAATGGAGTTGTTTGGGCACCCTCAATTTATCACCGATTTTGTTTTTTGGAAGTTTTTTTAAAGAGGAATGTCTATTTTGACTGCCGTGGCGACGTGGGTTGCGTGCACACCTCCTCGTTTACCGCATTACTTGCGTCTTTCATCATGCCTGCGTGTGTGTTTGAATTCGCTATACAAGCAGTCACCCCGCAGCCCTGTTCTTCGTTGTCAGAGTAAACAGGTAAACGTCAGGAAGACGAGTTGAAGAGAACCGTGGGTGTGTTGACGAGGGCTTTTGTGTTAACTGTGCGGACCGGTGAATGTGTTTACGGCCGCGTTGTATACACCCGATCACGCCAATTAGGTACCAGGGCAGATTAAGAAGACACAACCGTTGATTAGATTTCCTACACTAGTTGTGTTGTTGTCTACCAATACGGTTAAGGACAGTCTAGTGGGGGTATGAATGACCAATAATCCTTAGGCAAATCTGTTAAGCTAACCTTCAACGGACTAAATTCCTCGCCTCGCTTTCAGGCCGAGGTGCCGTCCACCTCCGCAGCCACCCAAGCCTCAGCATTCACCATACTGGCAACAGTCGCGGACACCACGAAGACCGCACTGCCCGGCTCAGCACCTGCACCGGATACGTCGTCGGCAGTGAGGGAGGACAAGTCGGCGGACGAGGGGACACCGGCACGCCCAACCACCGACCGCGTCGACGGCGAGGAGGATGAGGCGGAGGCCGTGATCACTGTGTCCGACAGCCCCGAACTGGCCGTCGCCGTGACACCCTTCACGGCCCAGAGCAGCGAACAGCTCTCGCTCACCGTGGGGCAGTACGTGAAGATTCTCAAGAGGTCCTCCACGGGCTGGTGGGAAGGCGAGACGCAGGTTTGTCTTCACTGACGCGCTTTCTGCATCCTTCTCCTTGACAGATCCATTCACTAGTCTTGCGTTAATAGCGTTATTTATGTGCGATTGCACGATTATCAGCATAATTACCCACACCAATAGATAACGGCATCGAACCCCAGCGTCATAAACGTCAATTTTATCTTCTTTTTCATCATTTTAGCGACCCCATTCCAGCCTTTCCTAGTTTCTTCCCAACAATTGCTCACTCGCACCACTTTCTGATTTCCTAGTGTTGTCATTATGTCGGCGGTGTCTGCATGACAAAATAACAATTATTGTGCGCGCGTGATTCCCCTTCGTTTTGTTTTAATGTGCCAAATTCTTAAGATCTCGCCGTTTTGAAAACGACCCTCGATAGTTTTGTGTGGGGCTTTAGCCCGAAATACACGACTACATTGGGACGTGCTGTTTTAATGTGCTGTCTTTCGCTGATTTCGCCAAATTAGAATGCCATTTAGTCCTAGTTGACGACGACGAGGGCTAAATTTCCCGACTTTAGGGTCTCAGTTTTCGTTTGCATGCGTCACAAGTCGCGAAAACACGAAGTAAGCTAACCTTGCCTCTTTTTTGCAGCTACGCGGTCAAGATAGGCAAATCGGATGGTTTCCAAGTGATTATGTTCGCCTGGTTGGCGCAACCACCACCACTTCTGCCCCCAATGGTAAGGACGTGTGTGTGTGTGTGTGTGTGTGTGTGGATGTGGATGTATTAGAAGGTATCGACCGAGTGGTGCTACGTTTTTGCGTCTGTGACCGTTTTATTAGAACCATCACCAGCTCACCACGTCGGCGACCCTTCCAAAAACGCCCAGCCCCCAGCTGCCACCCAGGGCAGTGGTCCCCCCAACTCCCAGGGGACGGTCTCTCCAGCCGGTGAACCCCAGCAGTCTTCCAGCGCGTCCGTCGTGACCGCGGACCTCTCCTCCGCCTCGGTCGTGCAGTCCATGTTCGCGTACAAGGCCAGCCAGCCGGACGAGTTGACGTTCCCCGAGGGTGCCCTAATCGAGGTCCTCGCTCACGAGGAGGAGGGCTGGTGGCGGGGACGGATCCAGTCGACCGGCGTCGAGGGCCTCTTTCCTGTGAACTACGTGAAACCCTACGCCAAACCTGCGAACGCACCAGCCTCCAGTCCCTTGGCCACTGCTTCCAATTCAAGGCCCTGTAAGTTGTCGTCTCGTGTGGTTGAAGTTAGGATGTGGTGATTGTGAACGCACCTTGATCATCCGCGTCATTGTCATTGCTGGATTTTGTGCAATGCGCTCTTGTCCGAAGAGTAATTGGGTATCACCTTAGGTGTTTCCCCTTAAAGGTGATCCCATTCGGAAGGCCTTGTCTTCACTAGGCAAGCGATATACTAAGTACCACCGCCAATATCTCATATCTATGCACCTTTTAACTGTCAGTCGTTTTTGCCACGTTCTCTTAATGAAACCATCCACAAATTTTCCTTAAATTGACAAAAAATGTTTTTGTAGAAGTCACGCCGAGCACGAGGTATTGCAGAGTAGTTTAAAGCACTCCTAAATCGGTCAGTGCCATCTGTTAACGCAGGGTTTAAATAAATATGTAAATTACAGCCACCGGGAAATCACCATCGTCTTTTCGTCTACCAAATGTTGGCCTTGTTTCTCATTGGGTGTCTTGTTAAAGCATTATTTACATCATTAATGCCTACCATTTGCCTAACACGCGTTTCTAACCCAAATCAACTTTTTTTCTTGCAATTTCCAAATCTTAACCGTGCTCTCTTTCTTTTTTCCCCCATTTCAATAAACGCGTCTTCTCTGCCTCGGTGTGAATCCCGCCTCGTGCAAATAACCGGTGCGTTTTTCCTAATTGTCTGTCTGGCTGCTTTACTAAAGGAGTGGACACGTGTCTTGGTGCACTCGAACGCAGTATTTTGATTTTCAATGAAAGTAAAAAATAGTCTCACGAAATAAATTAGCTTACCTTCATAACTTGACTCCTATGTGTAATGCCTCGTGGTAAAGAAGGTCTAATCGTTTGGAAGGAAAACATAATTTGGCATGGCGGCTTCTGGCGTAGCCGGTGTGGGTGAACGGTAGTTAGCGCTGCTATTGGTCAGCGCATCGGGTGCTGATTGTTTGGTTGGTTGGAATTTAGGCAAATCGAGGTCAGGCGGTTGAGATGTTGTAAACTGGAACTCCGCTGGTCTTCGTTCATATTCCATGAAACTGCCAATCCGAGACTTGAAGCTAGGGTTGCACAAATGAAATCTTACACTTCCTCCAACGCGTGCGTGCTCGAGTCGCTTGCAAGAAGTTCACGGAATCAGTCATCTTCCCTCGGTTCTCGGGCGGTGTTTCACGCTACTTTGGTGTGAGGTGAAACGCTAGCGGTAACAACGCCAACTGATGCAGACAATGCTCCACGTTTTGCCCACACACGCCCGGTTCTTTCTCTTTTATTGCCTTGTATTCCTTCCGTCACGGCGTCTCTAACAGGTACTCACGGCGGCACGGGTGACGATACCGCAGCCAAGTCGAGCATCCCCGTTGCGCAGGACCATCGTTCCACTCGGCAAAACATACTACTTGAATTCGTCGAATCCGAGCGTCAGTACTACAGGGACCTGTTCGAGGTCAAAGAAGTGAGTCAGCAGGCGTTTTTTTTCTTCACGCATTTTTGTTACTTGGCGCGACATTCATGCTAGCCTCGCACCAAAGTGGAAGGTAGTGCTGCGGATCAGGTTCTTCTCTACGGGCCAAGTTAAGGTTTGACAACGCCAAGGAACACATTGATAGGTATTCGGATGTAGCAGAATGAAGCCGTTTCTCGCCATCTGTTAGTTGATTTCCTGCTGATGCGTTTAGACCAGCGCTATTCCTCAAAGTGGTTGTTTTAGTTAACGAGAGGCTTCTTCGATTGAGTTACCTAACATACATTGTAGCGCGTGGTTTGCCGATGAATTTTGGTGTGCGGTAGAAACCATTAGTGTTGACAAACGCCGGATTGGCTCAGGCGAGCGTGTGTGCAGTGTAAATGTGGTCTTTGTGTATGTGTGTTTGTACCGAAGTCCATATACCGCCGTGATTGGCACCTCATTTGAAGAAACGCATATCAGTGCTCGATGTTTTACAACAATTTTTAAATGATGCCAGTTTTGTCTCCTTACCCCTAACACACTTCAACTTACAAAAAAACACAAAACTGACTGTTTAATTTGTGAGAAAACTCGTTTTTTCTCCCCGCCATCAAACAGAAAATCTACGAGGGGCTGAAGAAGCAAAATGTCGGGGAGAAAAAGTTGTCGCAGATTTTCTGCAACTGGGCCACTCTCTGTGACATCTCCGAGGCCTTCAACAAGTACGCCGCTCGACTATTGGGGCTCCTTAACAAAGGCCTCTCTCTCTCTCTCACCCACGTGGTTTCTTTCTTTAGGGACTTCCAGGAGCGCAAGAGGCTGATTGCAAAGAATCCCAATGAACTCATCGGCGATATTCTTGTGCGCCATGTACGCTACTTGTTGGTACCATTTCACATCTTATCGCTCTCTCTACCTTCTTACTAATGCGTTGGGGTAACACGTTTCTGGATTAACCGTTTCCACATTAAGTTTTTTCCCCGTCTGACCCTCAATAAGCGCCACTTTTGATTTCGTGTGCTTCGGGAGCAGTGCTCCACATCAGACGAACTGAGTAAGTTGCGTAATTGTTGTTAGGACAGCGCATGTGCCTTGATCCCAGTGTGTGTCTCCATGTTGGCAAGGCGGTAAAGCTTTATTAAAGCCGGTTCTGTTTACACCACGTCGCATTAGTCTTTTGTCGACCGTACAGCATGGATGATGTCGTGCTGCACCGACCCACACCTCGAATCCCAGCACGTGTGTCTACAGCTCCTATAAATCTACCTTCTTGGTGTTTTTAAGTTGCCCAAGTGCATGGTGTATCGGGACTTCTGCGCCAACCAGGACGTTGCGCTGTCGAGGTTGGAGAAACTCTGCGAAGAGAATCCCGATGTGGCCTCATTCCTCCAGTCCTGCCAACGTCTGATGCGTGTCCGAGCAATGCCGCTGTCCAGCTACTTCCTCAAGCCAATGCAACGCATCACCAAGTACAAACTCCTAATCGAAAAGGTACTCCATTGTTTGCTTTCTTGGCCACTTCGGTCAGCCGTAGACGATGAAGACTTCCCCACTACCTCAATCCTTTTATTGCCGAATAGCTCCTCAAACACACCCAACCTACGCATCCAGATCGAGCGAATCTGGAACAGTCTTTGGAGTTGGCGTCGACAATCCTAGATGTCTGCAACGAGGCCATTCGTAATCGCGAGAACTTCGTCCAGTTGCAGTGGCTTCAGGACCACGTGGCTTTCGCCTCGAGGGATGAGGAGATCTCTTTTGTGGGCGACGAATTGTTGTCCCCCTTCTTCGGCTCCCGCCGTCTCATTCTCTCGGGCACCCTTTTCAAGGTCAAGTCGAAAAAAGAGCTTACCGCTTTCCTGTTCAATGACATGCTCTTCCTCACCCAGCCTATCAACTTCTCGGCCACGACGCTGCCCACTGGCAATTTCACCCTCCCCCTCAAGCCCGACGCCTCTCTCAAGGTGTTCTTCAGAGCCTACCGGAAACCACTTTCTACCGCGAACGTAAGTTGTGCCTTTTTCCTTCGTTTCCTACGGTAACCGTGAGCGCTGCCACAACCGATGCCTTCACCACTCACAGATTCGTGTCTCGGAGACCGTCTTGTCACGTCCGCGTCGACGCTCCGCGTGGATTGGAGGCCTCTCGCAAGCCAGCGCTTCGGACCTCTCCACTGTCGGCGTGGCCGAAACCACCACCGTGGGCCGTGAACCGCGGGCTAAACGTCGCACCTTGGCCAATTTCCGTCAGTTATCCCTCAGCATGAATAACCTCAGCACCGTGTCCGCCGACACCGCTGCCTCGCCAAGCACCTCATTTTTCATAACCGACGACACCGACCGTGCAATCTTTCTGCACGTTAGAGCGCCCTCCGAGGCTCTCAAGTGAGTGATTTCACACTCTGTTCAGCCATTAACCCCCGGGGACACGTGATTCCTCGTGACCCTTAACAATGGCGTAGTAATTGGGACAGGTATTGTTAGTTGCATGGCTTAATTCTTGCATGCTTTTCGGCAAATTCATTTAATGTAGATGGTCGGAGCAATGAACTTAGTCTTGGAAATATTATCCGTGGATGTCCTATTTCAGCGTCGATGTATCGGAATACCCTGGATCTACCCACGACGTCTCACCTTTGAGATTCTCGTAAAATATGTACTTTTCATCACCTGTCACAATTTTCTACAAGTCCTTTTTTTCTTGTTGTGTTCGGTCAACACACATAGGCAGACCCAACCTCCAAGTTTTTAGATTTTTTTTTCCATTTGGTGCAAACGCTTGGAGGTGGCTATTTGAGTGACTCCTAACTAGACTGCTGCAGGCTCTTGTTGGATTTGCGTTGAGTCTCCTTTTTCGGTAGAGCTTGCGATTCCGCATCTTTAAACTTTCGACTTCGGCACCAAAAACACTACAACTTGATTTCCATGCCTTTTTCTAGTTGGAATTCGTATAAATCGTGGTGCCATCGAATGTCTTGTTTATCAGTTGTTACCGTGAAGACTGCAATTTTCAGAGGCTGTTTAGCTCGGTCGGTGTTCTGAAACCTTGCATTGGATCCTTTCAAAACCATAAAAAACCACGGAAATCGTTCCTACTTTAAGTATGATTTTAAGCTCGAAGAACTAATCTGTAAATATTAAGTCATGTGTATGTCCTGGAGTAATACTTAGTCTATAGTTCCTTAAGTGTTGCTTGATGCGTGTTCTTCTTCCCCTTCTAAGAGCAACATGGCTAGAGAAGATCAGGAAGACGTCGACAGACCACCAGAGGCTCATGAATAGGTTCAAGGATCGCGGGTCTTTACGATCCGATACGGGTATGCCTTAAGGTTCTCTATATTTTCACGCGTCGATTAACATAGTTTTATTGTTAGGAATATGTAATGACGTAAATTTGTCTCCTGTTGACACTGGCATCTCTTGTACTTCAGGTAAAGGCTCACTGTTTGCGGCTGTGCTCAATTTGACTGTGATTTCGGCCACGGGTCTTCGTCTAGTTGGTCCCAACGCTGACGGTAAGCTGTTCCTTTTTCCCAAACTGTACCGAAACAGTGCACCTCTTGATAATCCTGTACGCATAAACACCTGAAGTTTACCTTTTACATTCCTTTTATTAGCTTGTTTTTGTGTTAATTGCGTGCAGAGATGCCTTGGCCCTATTGTGAGGTCAGTGTGTGTCTGCGCTCGAAGAAGACCAACGTGATACTCAGCACTACGTCGCCCAAGTGGAACTGCCCATTGCGTTTCACCGTGAAGGACCTCTCGCGTGACGTCATCACTCTCACCGTCTACAGCAAAAACGCCTCTGCAGTTGAAGGTACGCACACACACGCACACACACACACACACGCACACACACACACACACACGCAATGTACTTCTTTTGCGCTTTTGCAGGTTCATAGTCACCACCATTTGTGTTTCTGCTCTTAGAGTTTCTCGGAAGAGTTGAGGTCAGCATGGAGGCAGTGGCGAGACACTGTCGAAGCAAGCCGAATGGTCCCTGGGAGACCAAGTTTCCTCTTGTCGTGGGAGGCGACGACGACGACGATGTGCAGCACGATGCCTCACTGACTGTTAGCTTCACAATATCTGAAAGCCCTAGCGATTTTGAAGAAGCTAGCTCCTGAAATACTGCCTGTTCCCATTTCTTTTGTCCTTTAAAAACAATATTTTAATAATATAATTTTTGTTAGAGAATTGTTTTTTTAGTAATGTTATGTTCTTTGGGTGAGTGCGTGAATTTTCTGCGATTTTCAGTGTATTTACTGTAAATTCATTAATTTATAGTTGCCCATCATACTTTGCCGTATGCATAGCCTCCAGAAATGTCCAAATAATGGGAGTTAGTTTAGCTACTCGAAAATTTCTGACGATGAAAATGTGCTTTCTTGGTTTCTTTTAGGATTCCCAATTTCTAGCAAAGTTAAACCTCGGTCCGGAGGTGGACCCAGAGTCGGCAGCAATGTTCAACATAATATTTTGGCTGTCTCTGGTCCTAATTCTAGCTGTCTGGGCCGTGTCTTATGGTATGTGGAACATGGATCCTGGACGCGACGGAATCCTCTACCGCATGACTCCAGGACGACCCAAGACTGAGTAGCACCTGCTGTCCAAAAACTTGTATCCCCGGCCTCCATTCCACCCCTCTTTATAGTCCTTGTCCAGCGGTGTAAACGTTCTGTATTCGTCCAACCAAATCTGTATTTTCTCTGTGATTTACTGTTACACTGACCTCCTATAAACTTTCTCCGTCGGCCTGATCCGAATAGCATAATATACTTGGCCGCTTTATGCACGCTTGATAAAGCACCGTAATGACTGTTGTTGCTTCAGAATGAGCACATTCCGATAATTGTGCATAATTAAAAAAACATTTCAAAGAAGCAGTTGTGGGAGCTGTAGCACTACTCGACCATGGGTTTCCATTAAATTGTTTCCAGCATTCGTGACAGATAGTGGAGGACGTTGCTCAAATTCTCATTTTTCCTTCGATGATTTGAAAGATCGAGGATGGAAATATCTTTGGTACAAAACTTTTAATTTCGATTTCAGCTGATGCACTCAAAGTCATATTAATAATGGAGGTGCATATGAGAAAGTGGGTATTGATTAAGCCCATAGACGTGGCATATTTTCGTTGTGGTGTTTTTGTGGAGTTTTCGAGCTTTCAGTGATTTGAATCGGTTGTAATTAACAAAAATTGAATGTACCTTCATTTCATAAATAAAAACTTTCTTCCTCATTGGTCATCCTTAAGGGTTCATTTGCTTAAAAATCAAGTCGACGTTTAAGTTTGGATATCTTCCTAAGGAAACTCACACCAATTATTTTATCAGAGAAGCATATTTTTCTATTTATGCTATGAGAAACATTTATCAAGAGTAAAAGCATCTTATGATGTCCGCAATCTTGTTACTTTAGCCTTAGTTAAGACAGGCTAAAGTAGTAACTTTTGTTTGTTTGTACTGGTACAAGTGTGAATTCCAGGGCACTTCACACAATGCAGTTCTTGCCAAATCAATTTCACAAAATTCTTTGCCTTTATTTTTCCTCAAAATATCTCAGTTTACAGTCTGCCATGTGAATTAGATATAATGAATGCAGTTAGTGAACACCTTTAATGAAAACAATGTTAGTTCCATTTGTTTAAGAATCCTCCTGCCCCTTTTTAAATGCTCTCTACTCACAAGCGGTATTTTAACTGTTTCGGGCTTCTGGTTTTCCGCGCCTCCCCATGCATTAAATGGAGTCTCTTTCTCAATCATGCCCTAGTTGTAAATCGAGCAAATATAATAATCCTCAACTTCGGTTAATGGTCAATATCTGTGGTCATTCACTGTTGGTGTTTTCGGTGTTGATGTTACCCCTTTTTAAGATGTGAAAATTGTGTTGAAGTTCTTTATGTGAGGGGTTCTGGGCTATGTGTGCAGTGCAAGACCCCAATTCGAAAGGTCAATTTCAGGTATCAACTCTTTGAAGACCCGACTGTTCAAAAGGAAGTTGATATAAGAAAAAGGATCCTCAACGAGCAAGCTACATTTTCAGTGTGTATAATTTCGTAGTTTCAATAAGCGTGAAGAAGACTTCGAGACTATGGGAGAGTACGACAATTATCTTGAACTGATCGAAGACATTAGTAAGTTTGCATTTCCGTTTCCTATTTAGAGTATACAAACTCGTGAATGATATCGATGTTGATAAAACTAAGAAATTTGTTGACAAGTACAAGAAAGATAACATGGATACCATAAAGCGTAACCGGACAAAACAGGTTAGTTGAAGTAAGCTTTTTTGTGTGTCGCCTGAAAATAAGTTACCGTGAATTTTTCATGCTCTAGCTTCTCTTTGAGCGTTTTTATTGTTCAATTTATTACCTCTCAGAACTCTCACGTGAAACCGACGCAAATGTTACTTTAGTGAATATCCTTTTCGGTAAACCCCTTACTCTCTTTTCACAAATTAGTTAAGTAGTGTAGAATTCTATGACCGCGAGCTGGAGCATGAGCGCATGTTGCGTGAGCGTCGCGAGAAAGCAGAAGCAGAGGACGAGGCTGCCGAGGTCCTTCGACGCAAACGACTTCTCGCAGCCAAGACTCTCCAAGGCTTTTTCTCAGGCGGAGTAGTTGCGCTTCCCGAGGAAAAACAGAAGCCGAAACTGCCTGAATCGACTTCGATGGAACCGCCTGCCCCTTCATCTGTTCTCGAATCCAAGCATCGATTTCTCCCGCCACCCACTGGATCGGCAGCCCTTCAGCGGGCCACACCAGCCTCCTTTATGCCCCTCCCACCGACACCGGCCTCCCGATGGGGCGGAAATCCACACACGCCTTCAACAGGTGGCCTCCTCACTCCTGTTTCGAGTTTGGTTGGCATACAGCAATTCCAGCCGTCGACATGGGCTACCTCCGCAGAGCACCATGCCGTAGTCATTCCACCTGTTAGAAAGAGGCCACAAGACGGCGAGTCGGAGGATACTGTGGTGCTTAACAGAGCGCGCTTTCCAAAACCGGTAGGTGTTAGAGATCATTTTAGTTTGATCAATTTTATTACGGTTTTTATTATTCAAATTAAGTCAGTCTAGTTCCATGGCAGTCATTTTAATTGGTTAAAACTTTCGTAGTAGCAATTTGTTGCACATTATGTAGGAACGTTAATTTTCGTTTCCGCATCTCCCAAAATGTGTTATGGGAAAATATTCACTTATTTGGGTGTTGCGGGCAAGCGCAGTACAATAGTAACTTAAATTTTAATCGATGACTCATGCAGTAGTCTTCTTTATGCATATATACAGGACTCTGTTTTGCTACCTTTATTACCAACTGCACTAAAAGAGGGTCTAGTAGTTTCCTGATGCCTTTTGGCATTTATTTTTCACGTCTAAATTCTTCGTTTACAAAACCTTTTGATAGACTCCGGATCTGTGCGGGCTTGTCTCTGTACTTTAATTTAGCTGCTTAAATTTGCTTCAATTCCGAGAGTGCGTCTTAATCTCCAATCCGTGCCTTTTGCACTAGAAGTGTTCAAAATGGATTATCACACCTCGTTGTAATAATGTTTATTTCGAATTACGCCAAGTGACATTATGTCCCTTACGCATGATGCTAATACCAGTTAAACCTATTCGACGTTATTGCGGTTTGAAAATTCAACAAAATCGGCCTGCTGTGAGGCAGAGTGTTCTCACCCAACCTCTCCTTTTGCCAGGCCTCCAGGTCAGCGGACACGGCAGCCCTCGCGCCCACAAGAACACTGAAGGAGTGGCTGGAGCCCTACAAGCCTGAGTTGTGCGGTCCTCAGCCCCCCTCCCCACAAACCGGTGACGTTCGGTGGCCCGGGCTCACGTCTGTTTATCTCACGACTGTTGTGGAGCCTCTCGCTGCCGCCTCTGCTGCCGCCTCTGAGCCTAGCCTGAGCCACAATAGCAATCCCCATGAGGTCGTGGAGCTGTCCGACAGCGTGGAGGAGGCGACCGTGGAGCCACGTGTGGGCGTCTCCCACGCGCTTCCTCGTGGCGCCTGCGGCATCTCGCCGGACGTTTTCCTCGCCCGCGCCCTCCAGGACAGCCGCTGCGGCCTCTTCATCTGACCCCTTGGCGCTCCTCTCCAAACCCACTTGGTTGCATAATTCCACCTCCTCGTCCCTCCCCCTCCTTCATTCTGCCCGTGTTGTGTAATAAAAAGGGCTATTTTTCGTACGACTTTGGTCTGTGTTTTCGTGCGTGTGTTTGGTGCGTCCTCCTAACGGCAAATGCCGCCAATCGAGCCTGATCTTGCCGAACTGTCCGGCGTACTGCCGTCAGTATCTTCAAGGGCTCCATTGTACGAAACTGCAAACTGCCTTGGTGTACTGTTGAGTGTTCGAAGACATCCTTGGCCAGAGGTACTTGGGGAGGCGAATGGGGACATTGAGTAGCTGGCGTGTGTTGTTTACGTAGTTGTGGTTACTTGACGCTGTTGGTGCGTTTCCCTGTCTGTAGTTTACCGTGGCTGTGCCAGCGCCACTTACGTGCTTATTTCATTAAGCTTTAGTTTGTGCAAAACTGCAGTGCTTGCGGGCCTTGTCAACTACTAGATTGTTCATTTTGATGTCAGTTGGCGCGTCGAGTCTATGCGATTCCGGGGTTTAAAGTACCTGCAGCGTGTGACGAGTGAACTCTGCTGTGATCGAAGAGGACTTATCGATCAACTTCACTAGCTGCACCAAATATGGGAAATGCACTTTTATGATGATCTAAACCAATCAGAAGAGACCAATTAGGATTGTACGACGATTTTGTGCCCCATTCTAAAATTAGGTGTGAGCTCTTGTTTGAAGTATTACTCGTCACCCGAATCCGGATATCACTTAGTTCTGAGCGCGTCTTGAAGTTGTTAAAACTAGGGACCCGCCCTAATGCTTTCCGTTTTTGCTTTAAAGATTTCCTCGTTGAGACAATTTCTACCAAGCCACAACTGCTCCTTTTACCGCCTTGTTGTAAATAGCATCGCTTCGTGTCAATTTTTTCACTCATCGTCAAGTTATTTAATTCGGCGACATCGTGTACTCATGTCAGCCGAAGCGGCCAACTCCAAGGACTACTCGCTGCCTCCAGCTTTGGATCTTAAATTAGACAAAAGTGTATTCGAGAGAAAAGAAGTCGTCCTGGCTGTGGGTTTACCGCTGGGTCGCGATTTCAAGAAAGTTTGGGATCAACTTCGGGATTTTTCAACCGGGTACTTGGATCTCCCCAAATTCACAAATATTTAGTAAGTCCGGTAAAAATAACAGCCTACTTGTAATATGTAAGTAACGGTTGTATTTCCCATCGTTTGACAGTACAGATGGAAATGGTGTCAAGAGAAAGTTGGTATTTATTCGTAAAGCTAAGGACACGAAGGAGCAGGATATGTTGCGAAGCCTCAATGTAGACATTCCAGCCTCTCCAGAAGACGAAATTTCCTACCTTGAATCTCACCCAGAGGCAATTTGTGTAGAGAACTGTCAACCGGGCGAAAGCACGACTGATTCCATCTTACCCTCCAAACCTTGTGCGTTTCGACTGTCTCTTGGCTACGAAAACTTTCCATTTGATAGAGCTCTGAAGGTCGTTCTTCCCGGTGACATGGAAGCGGTCACGGGCTTCTCTTTAGTGGGCCACGTGGCGCATTTCAACCTCAAACCAGCAGCTCTTCCTTACAGAAGACTAATTGGTAAGACTGAAAAAAAACTGTGCGATTTTATTTGTTTTAATGCGACAGGTCAAATTGCCTTGGATAAATTGGCGAATGTTCGAACTGTTGTCAATAAGGCGGCAAAAATCGATACCGACTTTCGGACGTTTTCCCTTGATCTGATGGCCGGTGAACCGGATTACCTGACTGAGGTTAAAGAGAACAACGTAACCTTGAAGCTTGACTTTTCTCAAGTTTACTGGAATTCGCGTCTCGGTAGGTCTGAATTCCTGTCTCACGTTGGCGCTCTTCAGGCACAGAGCACTCCCGCATTATTGACGAGGTCAAAACTGTGCTTGGGGGTCACAGGCGGGAGAGTGAGTTGGCGACGGTTGTGGTGTACGACGTGTTCGCCGGGGTTGGACCGTTCGCAGTTCCGCTGGCTCGTTGCCCCGGCTGTCGCGTCTTCGCCAACGACCTCAACCCAATGGCATTCAAGTTTCTTCAAGAGAATGTCCGCAAAAACAGCTCTAGAAGGCACCCAATCTCTCCGGAGCAAATCACCTGCTCGAATCTCGACGGACGCGAATTCATTCATGAGGTGAGTGGATGCTGCATGTTGGTGACGACGTGGCTATTCCATGCCGAGCACTTCAGTCTGTCTGTTTTCTGGGTATTCTCCTGGTATTCATTTTGCCTCCCAACTCGAAACCCACTTATATACTACTTAAATCGAGTGGTGTGATCATTCGGAAGCCTACTCTGATATAAAACGCCCAGCCAATCTGCAGTTAGGGTGTGTAGTAGACGTCTGATGTAATACAAATTTTGACAGGATGATTGTGGAAGAACTGTCTGCTAGTCCACTGGCTACATTCGCCAGGAATTTTGCATTCTCTGAACCTACAGGTGTCTTGTTCAGGGTGTAGCGGTAAGGAATAAACCATCTACGGCCGTCTGGATTATGATGTCCGTTGAGAACGAATATATCGACGTCTAGCCATCCACAGAACACTTTTTTCCAAGTTGAACAGAGAAATATCGATTGAGCCCTGAATAATCACCATCATTACTTAGGTTAGAAGTTGGTGTTCACGATAAAGCGAAGCGTGCTTATCAGTGTGGTTGGATTTCACGGACAGGGCTAAGAACGGACGTCAATGTAATCCTAGTTTTTCAATAAGAGGAATATTTCCATGCTTGTAGTGGGTTAAAATGTGGAAGCCTCGTCACACTTGCCAGGAATCTTGCATGACCTGAGCTTGCAG